GAGCAAGTGTTCTTAAAATCTTTGAAGAGACTTGAAGCACGTACGAATCCGCTTTTCAAAAAGCGATATTTGCCCCCTCTGAATTGCTGGTGGGTTTCTAATGCAAATAGCTTTCTGGATATGACAAGCCTTGAATCTGCACCAAGCAATATTGAAAATTCACGGCATGAATAACATAATAATGTTATTTGGGTTTTCTGGCAAGTTGAGACAGAGAAGAAAACGAAGGAAGATATGACTGTTTTGGATTTTATATATTTAAAAAACAAAAAATTCCTTCTTATCCTTACATAGAGTTTTGAAACATTGCATTGTTTCATGAAACAATTTGTCTTTTGGTTGCATTGTTTCATGAAACAACTTATCTCTTTTCCTTTAACTTTATAAATAACCAAATTCCAACAGCAAGTCGCTGTGGGAAAGGAAACAAGACATGGGGTTGGTCTGACAAAGAGCTTTTAGCAACATTTACAAAGTATCGATGGTATATAATGGCATTTGCGGATAAAATTACGGCGGCATTGGACTTTTTGTGAACAAGATGGGCTGGGATTCTTCCATTATCTCGGAACGCCCAATGCTTATTACAATGAGCATGGAGAAGAGGCTTATACCTATGGCTGCAGTTATATATTGAAGTTATACCAAGAGAAGTTGAATCCTTCAAAAAAGGCAAAATGATCATAGTGTAGAAACATGGATGCATTATTTGTAGAATCCTTACATTGTAAAATCAAAATTGCAATTTTCTATGATATCTGATATTTTAATCTATGATTTTGTATCCCTAGAATCTCCGGTCTTGCTCACTCTTGGTTACATGTATCTAGTTTGCTTTGTTCTTATATAATAAAAATATTACACAGGATTTTCCTTAAATCTTCAAAGCTGTCTTCAGGAATCACACATTTCAAGGTTCAATGGAAATATCTTCCTCTCTCGTTAAGAGGGCATATCAAGACGAAGTGCAATAATGTATTTTTATTATGGATAAAGACTGGCTCACAACTCAACTTACAAACTTTCTCTCACAATACATACGTGACAGTTCATAATTTGTCAGCTCATAAATGGGTAAGTGTCGCTTACATGTTGTAATCATCTAAATGAAAAAGTTTTATGTTTTTACATGTTTCTTGAATACATTTATGATACTAATTCTTAACATTCTCTTGATGTATTATTAACAGTGCGAATCATTTGTCAAGATTTTATTGTAATGAAAATGATGTTAAGACTTTTAATTACATTATGGTCCTACACTTTTAATATAAAGTGAATGGGTAATTGCTGATGTGGATTATAATAAAAGTTACATACGGTTATGTCTCTTGGACAGTTGTCTTTGATGAAAAGATAATTGCATTTATAAAAGAGATTTTACAGGTCCCCATTTGATGCAATTAATTCATTTTTCCCAAAACTATCACTCTAAAAAATTATAGTCAATAGAAGACTCTATATTCTGAAGTGACAGAAGCAAGAAGACTAAACAACAATTGCTATGGTTGGAGGTTTGTAAATTACTTTGGCAATATTCCATGAATATTTGACATGTTTATAATTGATTATATTATGAACGTTTGTGTAATGATGGAATAGAAATGTTTTTTACAAATGAAAGAATAAAGAATACATATATAATTTTGGAGCTTGCCAGAGGAGTATTGCTTAGATCCGGCCTACTTGCCCTAAACCGCCCTGTTTGCCCAAGGTTTTGGTACGATATGACTTATTTCACATATGAGAAAATGACAAAAAATGAACAACAGATAATTATAAATATCATAATAAAAATTTGAACTAACATGTAGAAGGTTTTTTATACATATACTCGAATTGGCTCAACTTGACTCGGCTGTTTACACTGTTAGTCTCATCAATATAACCTGTAGAAGGGGTCTACAACAATTTCCTCTTCAAAGTTTAGGAAAGTACAAGGATTTCAAAGAGTAATAAATATACCCAAAAAAAATCAATGGAATTTGTTACTTTACCATGTAAAAACCATAATGCCATTTGTCTAATTACATATTCTTTTCATTTTTCATTTCTTCAATTTTTATTTTAACTATATAAATAATAATATTTATTCACCAATTTATATAATAAATTAAATAGTGAGCCAGCCTCAAACAAATACATAAGGTCATGTGGTTGTAGTCATTGGGGTTTGGGGATGGTGCAAATGATGCACCAAAGCAATATAGGACTTTCTATGGGGATTCAAGGGACTGAAGTGGCCAAGAAGAGCTTAGATATTGTCATCATGGATGATAATTTTTGTGCAATAACCACAGTTTTGAGATGGGAAAGATGTGCCTATACCAATATCCAGAAATTCATTCAGTTCTAGGTTACGGTAAATGTTGCTGCTCTTGTGATAAACTTTGTCCGAACATTTTCTCAAGGTGAAGGACCTATAACAGTAGCCCAAATGTTGTGGATGAATTTGATCATGGACACATTAGATGCCCTGACTCTGGCTACAGAGCTGCCCACAAAGGAGCTAGCTCATGGACAAATCACCTGTGGGTGGTACCGAGCCGCTTATCACTAATGTTATGTTGAGAAATATTTTAGCTCAAGCTTTCTATCAGATTGCCATCCTCTTGACCTTTCAGTTCAGAGGAGAATCAATCTTTGGTGTTAATGAGAAGGTAAAGGATACCTTGATCTTCAACATATTTGTCCTTTGCCAAGTATTTAATGAATTCAACGCCAGGAAGCTTGAAGAGAAAAAACATCTTTTAAGGGATACATAAGAACAAGAAGTTGCTTTGGGGGATAATAGCAATAACCATTGTTCTTCAAGTATTAATGGTGGAACATCTGAAGAAGTTTGCAGATACTGAGAAACTGAATTGGGGTCAATGGGTGAATGTATTAGTATCGCGGCTGCCTCTTGGCCGATTGGTTGGCTTGTGAAGTGCACACCGGTTCCGGAGAAACCATTTTTCAGCTATCTCAAGTGGAAAAAATCCAGAGAGTCGATTTTTTCGTATCAACAATTTCTTTTAAAGTTTTCTCAGATATGGGCTGAGGGATGAGTGGCCGTGGCTCCCATTCCAAGCTCCAGCTTCCCAGTGGAATTTAAGGATAAACATATATTTTTTTTAATTTTTATTATATGTAAATTTATTTTGTATTACATTTTTTTAAATTGGAAAAATATTAATCAGCTATCTCCACTTGCTTCACATTTCTTTCTTTTATTCTAAACGTTATTCAAGTTAAAAAATAATAAATTTAATTTTTTATATTTATTCTTCTATTTATTATACAACATTATATATATAAAAAAGAAATATACATATGTCTCTAATGACTCACTAATTACATTTGTATGCAATTCACTTAAATAAATTACACATAATGTATATAGATCTCATATGGGTTGTAAATACGACACTTGTTGATCACTAAAAGAAGAAAAAGAGTTAAAAACAAGGAAACAATAGGAGGGTTAACGAAGATCGAATGAAAAGAGACTACACGACGATTAGGAATTAAACGTAAATAAAGGTACTCGTCCTCTCCAAAATTCAATTCTCTCTTTATTCCTTACATGAAAGTTGAAGGATGATCAAAAAATTGATGCATGTTTTTCAATTATTTCTTCTCAACAATTTTAGTGATTCTGGGGTGTGGTTGGACGTGTAAAGGGTGTAATTCCTGACTCTTTTTAGGTTTGTTTTGTTTGGCGTCATCCCTCTCTTGTTTAGGCCGTGTTGTTTCGGATTCGTCCTACTTAAGTTATAATTTTTTATTCATTATAAAATTAAAAATTACCCAAAAAAATAATTATAGAGATTCTTGATTGAGTTTCTTGTTGGTAAGTGTTAATAAATGTATCATGAAATTAAAGGTAAATAACCAATTAATAAAGGAAATGTATATAATGTTATAAATCTGGAAAACAAAGACTGTTTCATAGTGTTTATTATGGTATTTATGAGGAATGCTTATAGAAAAGCCACTTCCTGTTGGAAACCTCAAGGAATTAAAGACAAATTTTGTACAAGAAGATAAGTCCTGATAATTCAAGGTGGCAACTTCCTTCTATCTATTTTCGATAAATCCCACCTCTTATTTGTCTCATACAAATCCTAATTTTTTTCATTTTGGAATAATTTCTTGTGTTCTCAGATATTCTTCATTTTTCATCAACATCAACTTTTGACTTCACATTTTTATGTTTTCTGCTTTTGAATAAAATCATTTATTTATTAAAAATGATCATTTACCCCTCATTTTTATTATTTATCTCACTGAGATTATTAAAAAAAAAAAAAAAATCTTACAGAAAGTAGTTGATATTATCCGATGATTGTGGCTGAATTTAAATATCAATTGAAATTATAAGGAGCCTTGGTTTTAGATGGAAAACCAACATAGGTAAAAATTAATCATTACTGGATAATCTGATGGTAAAAGAGTAAAGAGATTTAACAGGGCTCTTAAGTTCGAGTCTCCTTAAACACTATCAATTGAAATTATAAGGAGATATAGGCAAAAATTAATCATCAGATAATCTAATAATAAAAGATTAAAGGGGTCTAATATGGGTTCTCGAGTTCAAGTCTTCTCAAACACTAATAAGAGTCCAATCATTCACTTCATAACCCTAAGAGATTAATTGAGGTACCCGCAAAAGACACCCTCGTTACAAAAAAAATAAAAGAGGCAAAAATTACCCTTTTTAAATTTTAACGTGAGCTGCACGTGATGATAACTAACGTGCGCCAGGTGCCGGTTATAGCGCTGTGTAGAGTAAACGCCGTAACTCTCTGCCACTTGTAAAACCTCTAACACGAGAAAAACACACACAAAAATATAAAATCGTGGGCTCACGCAACATCACTCAATGACGCTTCAACTCAAGTGCGCAGTTTAACTAATCTTCACTTGAGCGGCGCATTTTACCTCCGATCCCTCAATAAATTCATTACTTGTAATCTTGGGTTTATCTGTTTGAGAACTGACTCGCCTTTCGTAAACATAGTACACTATTATTATGTTCTCATTCATGTTGTTAACTATTGAGCCTCGAACAGATCATCGAAACCCTCTCGCCATTTTCCCAATCAAACCAATCCCACGTTGAATACTCCGAATCCCCTTATTGTTTTGTTCTTTCTCACCCACCAAACACACCCACTCTACCCAGAGAAACAAAATGAAACAAACAAAATCGTCATTTTCTGGTTGATTTTGGTCGTGATTGTGCTGTTTTATCGTCCAAAACCAAGGAAAAATCTCATGATTTGCTGTTTATTTGTTACATGCACCATGCGAAGTACGTGAATAAATACATATATGTAAACATATACAAAGTCACAAGCGAGTGTGTGTAGAGTAATGTGTAGGTGAGTTCGTATAGTTCTGGTTGTGGTGGTGGTGAAAAATGATGATGATGGCGAATAGCCAAGTGTTGAAGGTGAGCAGGGAGAAGCTTGTAGCATGCATGACATGTCCTCTCTGTAAAAAGCTCTTTAGAGATGCCACCACCATATCTGAATGTCTACACACCTGTAAGTTTTCTTCTGGCTCTCTTTGTTTCTCCATCTTTTTCTCAATTACTTTTTATATAATTTAATTAATGCTCCTTTTTTGTTTCCCGATCTGGGTTCTTTGCTGGTTACGTTATTTTTTTTCTTCTGTTGATTGAGGAGGATACTTATGTTGTTTTCTTGAATAATTGGTGTCCTGGATGTCTCCAGATTTACGTTCTCGTGATATGGGTCTGGCTACATTTATGCCTTAGTGTGTTTTTCAGATGCAAAGATTGAAACTTGATTCGTATTATGAATTTTCTTTATATGCCTGTAATGATATTATGATATAACTTGGTAGATATAGTAGTACTACTACTCAGAAAAAAAGTTTATTTTTTGTGAATAGTTTTGTCGATTGCCATTTATGGCTACCTTAAGCCAATATTTTGAACCGTTTTTCATTCTGTTCTTGACAAACTTTTTGTAAGTTCATATTTTGACTGTTCTATGTACAAGTTGTCACAGTCTCAAAGGAACAAACTTACCTGAAAACGTTTTGCATTTGAATGTTCCCGGAATTAATTTAATCTCCTTACTACTGCATGTATGTACTTATTAGGTGGCTTTTTGCTCCTCTGCTATTTCGATGATGGCATTGTTAAATTTATATGATACTTGTTATACACATTTCATGTTGTAACTATATATGTTTTTACTGTATACATATTATGAGAATAATTTGTTGGAAGTTCTTCATGGTTCCATGTTTTATTTGCTGTTCAAAAGCATTCAGTAACTTGTTAATGCGTTGATATTAATAAAGGATTTTCAATTTGCCTTTAGTTATATGAATGAGTTTTGCTCTGTTTTTTATTTTAACACTTTGGTCTGGTAACACCATGTCAAATATTACCTGCATCAACTTTAAGGATTAGTTCCTGATGATGACAAGGTTTGCTGGTGACCAGTCTGACTTAAAATCTCTCTTTTTATTTAACATTTTCATGAAAGAATGAGCTAAATAAATTGATGTATTACCTTGCAGTTTCATGAAACATTATTAGTGGCCTTTGTTACATATTGTAAATGTATTATTAACCTGAACCATTTGATACATGGCTTTGATTTTAAACACAGTTTGCAAGAAGTGCATATGTGAGAAGATAACGGAAGAGGGACTGAACAGCTGTCCAGTTTGCGACATTGAGCTGGGTGGTGCCCCTCTGGAGAAACTCAGGTTCTTGATCATGTTCTGCCACCAACTTTAACTTTCATATGACAGCTAGTTGCCTACTGCTTATACTGCAATACTATTCTGTACCAAAGTAACAATAGTAGCTTACATTGTTGGATTATTAAAAGTTTATATTTTTTGGACTAAATAGTTCATCTATTGTGCATATTGCTAGTCCATCATCAAGATACTGCAAGTAATATTTACTAAGAGGGATAATTATTGATACGTTACATAGACCTGAAAGTGTGTGCACAATATAACTGATACATTGGCAAAATGACAGATCTTCGTTTATGCTAACGTAACTGATGTGTCAGGGGAAAACAAACTTTAATGAAGTACTGTTTTTCGGGAATGAGCAGATGGATAATTGTCTTTTTGCACACTTGTTTATTTTCTCTTCTTTGGATTTGTTAGAATTAAAAGTGTTGACAGATAATAGCCATAATGTTTTAATCTGGTTAGTTTGATGCAGTATATACATGTTCTGTTCCCAAATTATGTATGAAGTTCAACAGTTGCGTAGTCTGATCTAGGCTATGGATTGCGCTGTAAATTTAAATCACAGTGCATGTTGATACTTTTTGTCTGTAATTGATTTTATTTTTACTGCCTCTGCATTTATTTCAAACAAAAGTAGAGGCAAAAAAAGCTATTTGATAAGATATAATTATCCTAGTAATTTAGAGTTGTGTTGTTATTAGATGAATCTGAAAATATGTGTTTCATAAGATGACATGCTGGTGCAGCTGGTTTAGTCCGGTCTGAAAATATGGATAGAAAGAAAACAGCCAAATAGGACTTCTCTTCTACAAACTGAAAGAATCTCGATGGACCTTGTATTTGATTCACCACCTTAAGACTTCCGTTTCATGTAAGCTAGACTTCTTAGCTCCACTTGGCCTCCTTGGCACCATTGAACATTATGAGAAAAGAAGAAATTGTCAAACCTATCATGCAATGGTACAAGTTTTCCTATGTTTCGAGATGCTTTTATGTGAAACTTAGTTACATGTATATGTTTTTTGTTTTGGCACATGTACTTGTGATAAATTACCATTCAACTTTGATAAATTTCTTTATACATACAAAAAGAGAAAGCAATAACTTTTTAAATTATTGCAGGCATTATATTGTTTACAAAATGATACTTTAATGTAATTTGGATTGTGTAAACCTTTGGAGGTATTGGTCTATTTAAGTGGTGTTTCTTGGTTGATGAACCTGCAGTAATCCATTTTGATGAGCTTATAAGAATTTGACAGTAAATAAAGATGTACATTAGGTAATTCCATAATATAGTCAAGTTAATCATTCCTTGGCAATGTATCTGATTTAAGTGTAATATTTGTGTATTTCTGTCATCACTGAAATCCTTATAATAAGGACACTTTATCCCTGCTGTGGGAAGGCTGCTTCTTGTTGTCTCTATGTGTGTGTTCATAGGCATGATTTTCCGATACCACATCTACCAAGCATTATACCCTATCCTATAATTATTAGTCAATTTATTTAATGATTTCTTACCTCTTGTAGGAAAACGGAGAATCAGGTGATGATGTCATTGGTATCTATGTTTATTGAATCTTTGCTTGTTTTCCTATAATCTACAGGGGAGACAACAATTTGCAAGATCTGAGGCTCAAACTCTTCCCTTCCAGAAGAAGTAACTCTGCAGCACCTGAAGCTGTGTGCTCAATCCAATTGCCAGCAAGAAGAAAAGAGAGATCTCTGTCTTCATTGGTGGTCAGCACACCTAAAGTACCAGCCAAGTCTAGCCAGAACAGAAGAAGATCAAAGCCAGGTCCAAAAAAGCATCCTGCTGTACAGGAACCTGTCCAGGACGTTGAAGATCACCAGGAGAGTATAAGCTCACCAGAGACTCTTAGCAAAATTGCACAATATAGAATGCAGGTAAAGGTGGCTATGGTTTGGTTTTTGGTGCTTGTTATATTGTTGTAAATGTGATACTATGTCTTTCTTTTTTCATGTGATGTTTTAAATTACTAGCTCCTGTTTCTAATATGCAATAGCTTCACTACTGGCATGATGCAGATATCTTCTGCTGCTGAAACATCTAACCAACGTACAGATGATAAAGATACAGAGGAGAATACCAATACTCTGGATGGGAAAGCTGATTTATGGAAACCCTTAAATTTTTTGGTTGAAGCTGCAAGCAAAACAAAGTCTAGCAAGTCTAATTCACGAGCGAGTGTTGTCAAAACAGCATTCACCAATGCCAATGACAATGAACGACTCCTTAAGGCCAAAGTAAAGGAATGTGGTAATGCATCAAAAGGCCATGGTAATGAAAAAGACGCAATTCCTGGGCCATCATCCTCAGGGAAACCTAGAAAAACTCAAGGCCGACCTAGAAAAGCAGCTGCCTCTCAGGTGTTTAATGTTTCAGCACAATCAGTGGTGGACACAAATAGTAAATATGATGGAAGATTTGGTCCAATTTGGTTCTCTTTGGTTGCTTCTGATGACCAGTGAGATTTTATTTTTTTCCTTAGAAATACTAATATTGATTGATTTAAATAAGTTCCTTTATAATCTCATATAAATTGAGTTTTTTTTTCTTTATGGACGGTTTCAGGGAAGGAGATGCACCCCTCCCACAGATAACTTCATGCTACTTGAGGGTTAAGTGAGTTTCAATAACATTACTACCTGAAAAAGTGCTCATATTACCTTTCTTTTTCATATCCTTTTTTGGGTTCTGTCAAAGAGAACCTTAAGATAAAAAAAATGCTTTTTATTGCCTCTTATATTTTACTTGAAGACCGTGCTTGTTATCTTTGAATTTTTTTATATATAAGTGGTCAATTTCACTTGAAATGGTTGGGCACATGCTCCTTGCAACATATGCTTTATTTATGAGTTTCCAATGTCTGGTATGATGTTTCTTTTCAATCATGTAATATATTTGCTTTTCAAAATTTAACCAAATTTCAATAGTTTCGATTTTGAGGTAGTGAAAAAGGTTGCAAGTTTTTCTCCCATTAGGCTTTACTTAGTTATTCCTCATAAATTCTTCTTCTCCTTATAACTTCAGATCAAGCTGACTTAAGATGTCAACTGGGTATAGGCTGTAGTAGGCCTTCAGTTTTTTTTTTTTTTTTTTTTTTTCCGCTGAATATGTTTGATAAGTTCTCTAATCTTTCAAAACCAGGAAACCTTTCTATCTTTTCTTTTCTTGTGAGTGGATCTTATTGGATCACTTCTCTTTCCCATATTTCTCAGTAGTACACAACCAAAAATACACCAAAAGGTATACGTAGTAAAGCAGCAAGAGGAAAGGATCATGGGGAGTATTAACCAATTACAGTCAGTAACAGAAAGAGAAAAAACTTCTTTCTTTTCCCCCTCAGTACGAACCCTTACTAACAATGCATTTGATCTCTATTTTAAGAATTTGTCAAGTGTTAATGAGTTTCACATACTATTTCATATAAGGGATTTATCTATCACTCTCAGTTTTTGCTCTCAAATGTCTGCAAACACATTGTTTTAACCTGATTATCTAGATGCTTTTATAACTTCTTTAAAGGACATGCTTATCACTTTTATTTATGAGTTTTCTAATTACTGTAGGGATGGTAGTTTGCCTGTTTCTTTCATCAAAAAGTATCTCGTGAAAAAACTCAATCTAGCTAATGAAGCCGAGGTAAGTTCATCTCTGCCTTCTCCAGGGCTGTTGAGATCTCTTTCTGCACTTAGGCACCTTCAATAAACCAGTTTTCACAAGAAGCTGCATCAACACTGAACTGACCTGCTGCTGATAATTATACAGGTGGAGATCTCATTGCGGGGTCAGCCAGTGCTTTCTACACTGCAGCTGAACAACTTAGTGAACTGGTGGGTGCAGACAGCCTCAACATCAGAAAGAATACAGACATCGGTAGGCAGCTCAGCCAAAGATTTTGTGATGGTTCTGTCTTATGGCCGGAAAGCTCAACCCCCATAAACATGTTACAAAAATGTTTACAGCAGTAATAGGGGTTTGGAGGTCTGAGGAGCAACATTTTTCCAAGCATGCCTTTTCATTTTGAAGCATATATGATTTGACCTCAGTTTTTACCATCTCGGATTTCCTTGTTATGTTCAACTTGCTTGTAACGTAGCAAAATATTTAAGGGGAAAGGTGCTAGATTATGATAAATACATACCGAACTCACAGAAAAAAATATACACTTTCTCAACCTTGCTTCAGGTTCTTGATTTCTAGCATTAACAATGTCATAATTCATGCATTGCGGTGAAAACTGGACACCCACCTATCATGATGATACAGTTGAACAGTCATCTAGGATTCCAAGCAGGTTAATAGTTAACATACAACATATGAAAAAATAATACAGTCATTGCTTTGTGAGGTCAAGTTTGGTGTGGTGAATCGTATCATGGTAGAGTAAAGACATCAGCATCCATCGTGTACAGCAACAAAAAGACATACAAGAGGACGCTCAGATTATGATACAGCCCTATGTAAAGTGACCGAGTCTTCACATGCAAGATGCAACTGTACTTGAAATTTTATACTCAAGTCTCAAGATTCAAGATGCGCTCAACTTTGGTGGACTTGGCGTCTGCCAAAATTGAAACATAAGAAGATTCTGATATTTGATTTGCTTTACTTCCAGAATAATGAGTTGCACATCTAAAAGTTGATAATTTACCAAAAATTCGGGATGAAGGGATCATCCCAAGTAACACTGCCCACAAATTAAACCCATCATTGCTTTTTGACTCTCTAATCCCAAATCTTATAAAACATAAACTAGACCAATATTTGTTAAAACCACGCCAAAGGCTAATGGATACTGTGATAATATCCATCACAATGATGCTGATTCTCAAGAACAACTGATTACTCAGTATCATAACCTCCCAACTACCAAAACAAGACACGGTACCAGATTAAGCATATTCTTGAACCACTATGACAAGGCAAAAGAAAACTGAAACATGGTAGCTAAAGATACAACTCTGGATAACAATNCTGAATATGTTTGATAAGTTCTCTAATCTTTCAAAACCAGGAAACCTTTCTATCTTTTCTTTTCTTGTGAGTGGATCTTATTGGATCACTTCTCTTTCCCATATTTCTCAGTAGTACACAACCAAAAATACACCAAAAGGTATACGTAGTAAAGCAGCAAGAGGAAAGGATCATGGGGAGTATTAACCAATTACAGTCAGTAACAGAAAGAGAAAAAACTTCTTTCTTTTCCCCCTCAGTACGAACCCTTACTAACAATGCATTTGATCTCTATTTTAAGAATTTGTCAAGTGTTAATGAGTTTCACATACTATTTCATATAAGGGATTTATCTATCACTCTCAGTTTTTGCTCTCAAATGTCTGCAAACACATTGTTTTAACCTGATTATCTAGATGCTTTTATAACTTCTTTAAAGGACATGCTTATCACTTTTATTTATGAGTTTTCTAATTACTGTAGGGATGGTAGTTTGCCTGTTTCTTTCATCAAAAAGTATCTCGTGAAAAAACTCAATCTAGCTAATGAAGCCGAGGTAAGTTCATCTCTGCCTTCTCCAGGGCTGTTGAGATCTCTTTCTGCACTTAGGCACCTTCAATAAACCAGTTTTCACAAGAAGCTGCATCAACACTGAACTGACCTGCTGCTGATAATTATACAGGTGGAGATCTCATTGCGGGGTCAGCCAGTGCTTTCTACACTGCAGCTGAACAACTTAGTGAACTGGTGGGTGCAGACAGCCTCAACATCAGAAAGAATACAGACATCGGTAGGCAGCTCAGCCAAAGATTTTGTGATGGTTCTGTCTTATGGCCGGAAAGCTCAACCCCCATAAACATGTTACAAAAATGTTTACAGCAGTAATAGGGGTTTGGAGGTCTGAGGAGCAACATTTTTCCAAGCATGCCTTTTCATTTTGAAGCATATATGATTTGACCTCAGTTTTTACCATCTCGGATTTCCTTGTTATGTTCAACTTGCTTGTAACGTAGCAAAATATTTAAGGGGAAAGGTGCTAGATTATGATAAATACATACCGAACTCACAGAAAAAAATATACACTTTCTCAACCTTGCTTCAGGTTCTTGATTTCTAGCATTAACAATGTCATAATTCATGCATTGCGGTGAAAACTGGACACCCACCTATCATGATGATACAGTTGAACAGTCATCTAGGATTCCAAGCAGGTTAATAGTTAACATACAACATATGAAAAAATAATACAGTCATTGCTTTGTGAGGTCAAGTTTGGTGTGGTGAATCGTATCATGGTAGAGTAAAGACATCAGCATCCATTGTGCACAGCAACAAAAAGACATACAAGAGGACGCTCAGATAATGATACAGCCCTATGTAAAGTGACCGAGTCTTCACATGCAAGATGCAACTGTACTTGAAATTTTATACTCAAGTCTCAAGATTCAAGATGCGCTCAACTTTGGTGGACTTGGCGTCTGCCAAAATTGAAACATAAGAAGATTCTGATATTTGATTTGCTTTACTTCCAGAATAATGAGTTGCACATCTAAAAGTTGATAATTTACCAAAAATTCGGGATGAAGGGATCATCCCAAGTAACACTACCCACAAATTAAACCCATCATTGCTTTTTGACTCTCTAATCCCAAATCTTATAAAACATAAACTAGACCAATATTTGTTAAAACCACCCCAAAGGGTAGTGGATACTGTGATAATATCTATCACAATGATGCTGATTCTCAAGAACAACTGATCACTCAGTATCATAACCTCCCAACTACCAAAACAAGACACGGTACCAGATTAAGCATATTCTTGAACCACTATGACAAGGCAAAAGAAAACTGAAACATGGTAGCTAAAGATACAACTCTGGATAACAATCACAATCAATAATAGACTCTAAACCCTTGAATGCAAGCCAAAAGTTGGTCATAAATTAGATCAACCAACTTCTAATAGATGCAAACATATGATATGATAGTAACATGAACTTCCATAAGTTAATGCCATTTATCACAAATGCCAAATCTTACTACTACCCTTCAATGGGAAAGACCAAAATCTTCATTCTTCATCAAGCCTATTCTCATCCCTCAACAGAGAAGCATGAATCCAATAATTGGGTATATAACAAAGAAAATGCATTTGCGCAAGCTAACAATGAACCCACTTCTATGTACAAACTTCAATTACCAACTAAAGAAGCCAGGATGACATTAAAGATTTCTGCATACAAACTGATAATCTAAAGAACTACAAATTCAAGCCTAGTATAACATACACGGAATCAATTAAGCAGGAAACAATGTAAAATTAATTCTTTTATGAATAGGAACGTGTTCAGTGTTCACTAGACAATATTTAGAAAAATCAAAAACCAGTATAAGCCCCATGTGGGCTATCATCAAGATCATCAAGCAAAACCCCATAAGGCGACTCTTGGTCATCCATAACAAGATCGTCCGTACTCCTCAATCCCGCATGTAAAATTACCAAAGCAACGCCAATCACCATGGAAACCAGCACATTCACCCACACGTGCGTCAAAACTAACCCCGTTACCGTCACCGCAAAAAGCGCACCCACCACGACACGATCGTCGACAACGAACCCGAAGACCGTCAGCGCGTCGTTGCGAGCGAAGTAGAAGAAGAACCACGCGACAAGCGACAGTAGAAAGACGATTAGTGAGATGGGGTGGTAGATTAGGCTTAAGAAGAGGATCAATAAGACGATTATAGTGTAATTAACGCGAAAATGAGTGAGGTTTTGGGTAATGCGCGTGGTGGCGTCAGAGAGTGAAAGAGGGAGACTGAATGCGGAGAGGTCAAGGAAGTCAGCCCAATGGCGACGCCTAGCGGTGAGTGAATGGGTGGTTCTCTTGACTCGAGAGAGGAAGTCGCCGTCGGTGGCTGGGGCAGACATTTTGGTAAGGGTACAGTGGGAGGCCGATCTGACTTATGAGAGAATCGAGTCAACAGCTATTTCTTCAACCGGTCTCGTTGCTCAATGAGAATGCTTCGTGGATTGTAAAGTTTTGAGGGTGTGGGCTGACGTGGGCCAAATTGGGCGGGCTTTGGATAAATAATCCAATCACGAGAATAAATTAATGAATTTCTAGAATTAAAAAAAAAAAATTATTATTGGTAAAAATAACCAAAAATCCCTAAATTATACACTATTGAATTCCTACAATAAAATTTATCTAAATTCTACCACCTCTTCCAAAATCTAGAATATGCAATACAACAATTTTAGTCATTATTAATTAATAGTAAAAAATTCAAAATCAAATTATATTTACAAGTCAATAATATACAATCTATCATTTAAGTCCAATATTTTTCTCAAAATATTTGATAAATGACAGAAGTTTCAAATTGATCAACTTAGAGACACTTAACGGTAAAAGTCTGTTAAACTTAACTACAAACAGGTGAAAAATCATATTATATCCCTAAACCATAGTTTCTAAGTTCATGACAATGTAAAAACTAAAAACTAAAAACCTCTTAAAAGACAAAACAACTTATGTTAGATCTAGGAAACATACTACCAACTTCAAGGTGTAACAATTTCACTTTTCCAAAGAAAATTTCGCCTTTTTATAAGTATAAATAAAACCTACGAATCTCTTTAAGATACAATGAAAGATATGCTCGTGTTATGCACAAAACATAAGCATATTAGAGAGATTAAGAAATTTCAAAATAATTCACATCTAATGGTTTCTTCCATAATACCTCAACATTTATTATGTCGCAAGACCAAATATGCAGGCTTACCTCCAATGCTAGTAATCTAGCAAATGACCTCGACAACATTACGAAAGAAGAAACAATTGTTATGCCTAAAAAATCGGGGTTGACGTTTGTCACGTCAACAAGTACCAATCAGAGTTCAAGAAGGCTTTGCGCTGCCTAGGAGCTGTCATGACACTCCATGACAGAAGGAATATGGTTGTCATCAACTTGACAGATTCACGGTTTGTCTATGAGTAATTGAGGGTCGCACACCTGTCCAAGCCCCAGGTAATTTGAGAATATTTCCTAAGTTATCAGCCAATGAGAGGCAAGAAAAGACTTACACGGCACCTACCAAATTGCAGATTTGTGATCATTACTTTGAATTCATCTACTATAAATAGAGGACTCCTCTTCTCATTTTCAGGATTCTGATACTGAACCCGCTCTCTAATTGTAATCTTTATTTTCAGAGCAAAGATAACCTACGAGAAAGAGACTAGCTTGATATTCTTTCTGAATACTCAGTTGTTGTATCTCTGCTCGTTGTTCGCTATACATGACCTGTTGTAATCTCTCATATATAAAAGAAACAGTGGACGTAGGATTCGCTTTAGGCATCCGAACCACTTTAAAAATCATATATCTCATTTATTATTTAGTATTTGTATCTGATCATAATCATTCACGTGTAATTTCTAAAAACAACTTAACATTTTGCACATACGAGTCGTTGGCGTTAAAATTATGCATCAACAACGACAATTAGAAACTTCCAACTACACAAAAATAGGCATGGCAATGTTCCACGGAATTCCAGGGACTCGTCCTGCCCAGCCCCATATGGGGCGGGGAAGCCTCAGTTTTTTCGGGGATAGGGGCGGGGGTGGGGGGCGTTTTAATCCCCATCCTTGGGGATGGGGCGAGGGTGGGTGATGCATTTCCCCTGCCACACCCCGCCCTGCCTCGTTTATAATATATAATATATAAAATTAAAAATTATATATATATATATACCCACACTTATACTTTTCACTAATACCCATATATTTCATCTAATTACACAATTATCCTATCTATATAAACCCATATTTTCTCAATTTCCCTCACTCTAAACAATTAAACAAGAACAAACCCTAACCCATATTTATGTATAATTAATTATGTTTAAACGATTAATTTAAGTATTTGTTATGTGGACGAAAATTAACTATTGTGTTTGGTAATGCTCAAATTAATTTATGTTTATGTAAAATTAACAGGGTGAGGATGGGCCTCCAACATTTCCCTTTGGGGCGGGGAAGAGGAATTCCTATCATCCCTATAATAGGGATGGGGCGAGGGTGGGGAGTGATTTTGAGGGCGGGGATGGGTACGGTGAATGAGATCCGCGCCCTGCCCCGCCCCACCCCACCCCACCCCACCCCACCCCACCCCACCCCATTGCCATGCCTACACGGAAGGGACTTAAACAATCAGATTTAAGTAATGAAATACATCAGGAAAGAATTTCCATTAGCAGAGTTGTGATATGCTGCAATCAAACCTTCACTTCCACAACTCCTTACTGCTCTCGTCCTATTGAAACCTTGATCGGATATATGTCTTCAGCTTTTCAGCAGATGGCCTAATTTTCTCGAGAAATGTATAATATTCATGGCTGTTGAATTTTCTCTGGTGAATAATAGATGGTCAGTTTCTCAAGTGCTTTTGCATGCTTTAACAAATATTTGACAAGCTATAATTCATTATTTCCTCTATGAATCTCCATCTACACTTCTTTCATTTGATGAATCGAACTCTTAATAACAAGTTTTGAGCTTCCCAGTATTCAACTTTGTGATCAAAGTCTTCCAAATGCTGAAAACTGGAAAAAAATTAATAACAAACATGAATGACTTAGTAATAATGAATTTGAAAAGACTGAAACTGAATAAAAAACGTATAATGAACATACATCATCAAATCCAACATCGCATTTGAAATATCTTGCATTAAATAAAAAATTCAGACTGGTAAATTTCCTCAGGAAAGAGGAGACTATCTGAAGTTGGCAGTCCTTTAAACTGCTAACATGTAGATATAAGTCGTTTACATTAAGACAGACCGAAAATTCTTTCTGAACAGAAACTGGAAAACCAGAAAACACAATGAACATTGGTTAGAACTGAGTACACATATTGATCAACATATAAAAACGACTAAAAATGGAACTTCGACAGATAGATTTCTGCTAAAGATGGTTCTGTTTTTAAGAAATTCCAGCCATCACTCCAATTGTGATTAGAACTTGGACCATATAGCGTTAATTACCCATCCCTTAATGCAGTTATTTTCGGTAAAGTATACTCGATTGTCTTGATTCGGAACCAAAGAAAGAAAAAAGTTTCGCACGCCTATCTTATTTGGCCAACTTATGCCTTTTCCTGAAATCATCTCCCAGCAGGGCCAATACCTCAGAATTAATGTACACGACAAAAAACGATGCACATAAGTCTCTGAAATTTCGTGAAAAGTACTAAATTGAACAGTGTATTTCATGTCCTGATAGGAGAGGATCTGGTGATTGATAACGTCTGGAAGATCAACAATGCTTCTGGCCTCCATGGCTCTGATCACACTCTTTAAGATAATGGGAAGGAAGAGCTTTTGATTGACAGTGGCAATGTACCAGGATCCGATCTTATCTCTCAATAAGAATTTCTAGAATTCATCTCAGGATGATAACCCTTTCTGACTCATTGAGCCTGTGACTCGATTTTTCGTGCTTTAACTCTCTAGCATGGTGTGGAACTTGGGAGGCAGAGTGAATAGGGAGATTCGAACGGTCACCCGTCGGATTCGACGTTTGACTAAAGTTGACTTAATGAATACCACCTTTATGATGATGACCAGTTTAATACATGTAAATGTGATTGCAAAATTCAAAAATATAATATTTAAACCAAGATTTTGAATGACTTTACCTTCAATTCCTTGTCAATTGGAGAAGAAACTTATGTATGTTTATATTGGAAAGGATAAGCATTGTCTCATCATTCAGGTTTTTACAGGCAGCATGAGCAAAGCAAATATAAAGCAAAACAGCAAAAGGTGTTCTTGAGGTTCCAAATGCATAAGATCCATGTTCACAGCAAGCATGTCAGTAATTTTATTGACGCTGGCATGTATAAAACCATTCACCATTCACAAGTCGAGTTCATAAGTCCCAGGAAGTGAAACTGGTCCAAGGATTTCACCTTCTATGCTAGCAATGAGTGCAAATTCCCTCTCGACAGTCCCCGTTTTCTCAATCCAACTCACTCCAAGCACCACGAAGTAGACCACTATACCATTATTTATCTTTGCATGTGTGTTGCCATTTAAGAAATATGGATTTTCTTCAGAAACATAGGAGTAACCTGGCATCTTCAAAACTGGAAGAAAAGCATATTTCAGAGGCCCAATTCGTAAGAAGACCCCTTCTCGAGATGTGTAGTGAACGACTCCCTGTAGGAAATCTCCGATGACAGGCTTAAAGGTGCGACATTTAAATGTTACAGGGAAGGATGCATACCCTGACTCGTCCAATACTTGTCCTTTGTCAATGTTCTTCAAGCTAGTTACTGCAAGAAAGTATCCATGCTCCTTGCTGGCCTTTTCATTCAACAAGTCCTCCATCAGTTGTGTTATAAGATACCTCGGACAAACCAATAGTTCTCCATCTGAATTTGCAGGACATGCAATCACATTCCTTTGCAATTCAACTTCAGAAATCATATCTGTGATCTACATCAAACTTGCCAGAATAAATAGGATTAAAAAGAAGAGTTTGCGAAATTAATCAATCACAATTCTCTTAGATTGTATGCGGCTCATGGCATCTAATTATTATAACTCTTCTTAAATAATTTAAATTATAAAATATTTGAAGTCTTGTTTTATAATCGTGCTTAAAAAAACTTAAAACATAAAGGAAGAACCTAAGACTAATCTGGATTAAACTATGACAACTTTGCTAGCCTGGACCACAACCTGCCGCACTCTTCTCTTCCACTAAAGCAAGATTCGTATACGCATCACATATGTGATCACTAATGACAGGCTTAAAAAGTCAATACAAATATGCTACACAAGATACAGATTAACTGGGAAAAAGAACTTGGCTTAAAGCATGTACTTAGAGCATTCTATATATAATTAAAATAATTAAATAGTAATAATAACAGAACCGGCTATAAGAAAAAACCCAGGAATAAAATAAATCTTCCAATCAAATAGATAATAAACTAAATCCTGTGAAGGCTACGACACAATATGGCTTGTAATTACTGTAAATGACCTTATCGAAAAAAAAAAATTGTTTTGAATCACAAAACACGGAACTATTATTGTATAGAAATTCTTTATAAAGGGTATGAAAGAATATGGATCGAAGGTTTTTTTTTGGGGAAATTTGCTATCTGTTACCATCTGAATAAGGATACGGAATTGAAAAAGAGCTTTGTTTGACAAAATTCATCTGATTCTAGCCAGTAATTTAACATGTATCTAAGGCAGAGATCAATTAGATTCGAAAGTTCTTTTCTTACCGGTTGAAGTTAATTTCTTATAAGTAGCAAGGAAAGTATTTCCTGCAACAAACAGTAGTAAAGGTATTCTTACTTATCAAACTCCTAAATTCCACAAAGTTTAGAGAAGACAAAAAAGAAAAGGCATGTGTATGAGTCACTCTCGAAAACATGGAACATTACAGAGCCTGCATACAAATGATATTTTGAACAGAATGATTAATTCCTATCAACATACCTTTATGACTATGGTCATTAAATCAGATTTATTTCAAATGCCCTTTTCATGCAGCATCTAGCACAACAGTATACACCCAGAAACCAAAAAAGCAGTTGGCTTGAAATTCTTTAGTCACTAATCTATTGGATGAGTGAAACCAAATACACACAGCAAAATCTACTTTCAACAACTAAAATAAAATAAAAAATACGAAATGAACAACTAAAAACTCAAACTTCTGAACAACTAAGATGTCATCAGAGCAAATTCATAAATCCATTTACGCTTTCAGTGTAAAACCTGTATCAGATTACATAATAGAAAAGAGTAGAATCATAAAAGGCATAAAGAATTGAACCTGAAAACTTGAAGCAGCTACCGCAGAGAAGAAGGGTGAGTAGAGTGGGGATTTTGAGAGAGATCTGCAGTGGATCCGAAAGAATAAGGAAGCGTTTTCGATCTTCACTCCCTTTTCTACTGTGTTGAATCACATTAACAAAAATGGCAATCTTGCATGTAGGGTTTGTCTTCATATGATATCTTTCGACGGTTTTAAAGTTATAAGTCAGCAGGGTTAAGGGCTTTTTGAATAAAATAATAAATAAACTATAAAATAATTCCTAATTGTAAATTAAGTCTATAATATAACTATATAAAAAGATAATCAAGTTAAAAATTATTGAGAAAACATCAATAACCGTAAACACTCCAAAAGCAAATGAGGTGGAAAAAATGGGCCGGGTAATGAAGAGGGTTCAACCCGGCCCGCCTTCGCCAGTAACCCCCGGGCGGGCTGGGTTGCAAAATGGCAAACCGACGGCCCGCGGGTACTATTTTGTCCTCTTGCAAGAGGACCGCAACCCGGCGGGTTGCAGGCGGGTTGGCTGTTGCCAATGACCAACCCGGGTTGGCCAAAAAAAATTAAAAAATGTAAATTTTTTTATTTTTTTCAATTACCCTTTTACCCTTGAAATATAGGTTTTATAGCCGTTGAGAGGGTCTTTCGTCATTTTCTTTCACCATTTTCTAAAATTTGCCTTAAACTTTATATTTTTCTCACAACTCAAATTCTCATTTTCTCATATTCTCTATATCTATCAACTCCAAGTCTCAATTATTCATTTATTCTCTTAATCTTTTTGTTATCAATTTGGCTCTTATTTAATTTTTATTAGTTTTGCAATTTTCAATTCATATTTCCAATTTCCAAATTCCAAATTTCCAATTTCTATATTCCAATTCTCTTTCTTAATTTTATTCTTCTACATCAATTTTTTTTTCAACTACAAGTCTACAATGGATAGATATTTCTCCCATCAATTTCAATGATGAAGAAAACTATTATCCTAGTCCTAGTCCGCTGATTTTACTATGATACCAGGAGATTCAAAAGTCCGTTGTCAATCCAGTCTCCAAATCCGATACACCTAAAATATGCCGTCGATTTCAACAGCTCCCGGTGGTTCTAGAAGTCGTCCTCATAATCGTCGTCTCGTCCAACTTCATCAAGCTAGGGCGGGATCATCAACTGCCGTCGAAAGCGAAACAGACACACATCAGACGTTTGGACGCATTTCGACAAGTTTTACGAGATAGAAAATGGCATTCAAGTCAAGAAAGTAAGATGCAATATTGTACAAAGTTTATAAAACTAATTCAAGTAATGTACTAGTACTTTAAAAAGGCATTCTAATAAAAATATAATCAACATGGAAATAGAGAAAGCAATCAAACCAAATAACTAATATGGGTACTACTTGGCGTTATAATTCTGATGTATATAGGGAACAGTTAGTTCATATATTGCTGCATCTGATCAACCTATAATATGGCAGAAGAAAATATTTTGAAGATTTGTTCAAATTATTTTTTTCAGGATTTAAAAGTTATTCTAAAACTGCAACTAGAAATGATGTAATAAATTGTTTAAAAAAATGAATTAGAATTAAAAATAAATTCATACTTGTCATATTAGTGTGGCTTTACTGCCGATATTTGGAGTGTAGAGCTAAACAAGATTATTTTTGTGACTAGTCATTATTTGATAATGAATTTAAATAAAATAAATCTTTATTAGGATTTAGATTAAGGATGTGGATCATAGGGTTTAGAAATCTATAATAAAATTGTGAAGTTTTAGAAGATTATTGATAAAGTGATAAGTTAATTTTAGATAATGCAAGTTCTAATAGTAAAGCTATAGATTTTTTCAAAATAATTATCTTTATATAACCATTTGAAGTTTTTTCACCAACGTTGTGCATGTCATGTATTAATTTAATTGTAAAAAGTGGTATGAAAACAATTAAACAAAATATTGATAGAATTAGGGAATCTTTAGTTGGTTAATGGTAGTAATAAAAGAAATGGTGAATTTCAAGAAGTTTGTATAAAATCAAATATGTCTCCTAGAAATTTTGGATTAGATATGCTGTTAGATGGAATAGTACTTATTTAATGCTTGATTCATGTTTACCTTATGCTAATATAATTAGTTATTTGTAGCAAATAATAGGTCCTCATCATTTGGTAGAAAATGATTGGAAGATAGCTAAAGTATTTCATTCTTTTCTCAAATGTTTTACCAATCCACTTTACAAATTTCTGGTGTGTATTATCCTACTAGTCCATTGGTATACATGCAATATAAAAATTTCCGAGTATTACAAAAAACAAAGACAATGAAATTTTACATGCACCAATAAAGGCAATGGAATTTTTTTTTGAAATAGTGGAAACCCATTCCATTTCTATTGTTTAGGTGCTATATTGATCCTAGAATTAAATAGCACATTAGAAAATGGTCTTGATAATTTAAGGTGAAATTTACAACCGAATCATATGGCAATCAAATAGGAGAGGTAAAAATAGTCTTTTCGAAGTATATTTTAATATGAAAAGAGGTATGGGAACCCGCAGTCGCAAAGAGGCGAAATATCCAGAGAAGTTGTAGCAGAAGAAACAACAAATGAAGACTTATACTCTTGGAATGCACTGAATAGGCCGAAGAGGCCCGAATCCGAAGCACAACCTCCTCTTCAGAAGCACACCACCAAACAACACAACAAACTAATATGCTGTTCTCCATGGAGTCGCAGAGTAAGAACTTCAACATATTGGCAACCCCGAAATGTTTAACAGGTCACTTTGATATCTTAGAGTATTGGAGAGCCAGAAAATGTATTTTTCCGGTATTATCAAGACTTGCCTTGGATGTTTTCGTGTTCCTGTCTCAACCGTCTCATCGAACAAAACATTTAGTGAAGTGGAGGATTTTAAATGAAAGGAGGACTAAACTTGCTCCAAAATGATTGAGTCCTCACATGTCTTCGAGATAGGAACGATCGCGCCATCAAGATCAATACAGGTTATCGACAATACTTTAGTAGAATCTTTCAATTTTGTAATATAGAGTGATACAGATGAGGGAGGTCCTAGTGAACCACCCCAAATTATGTTTTGTAAAATGTATTTGTAAATTAATTGTCAATTATTGCTCTTTTTTCTTTACCAAGTTTTTCCCCATTGGGTTTTTCTTGGTGAGGTTTTTAACGAGGAAAATTGTTGTATTTCTTATTTTATTTTTTGATAATGAATAAGTCTAATTTTTCTTTACTACAATTTTATTGTAAAAAATTGAATTAATATTTGAAATGTTAACAAAAAAAAAAATTTGAATTGAATTGAATTATTGATATTTGAAAAGTTAACTAAAAACAATTATATTTATAATTATTTATTTGAAAAGTTAAATTAAAAAAACAAAAAAAAAAAAAAAATCGGGCTAACCCGGCCCGAACCGCACCTAACCCGGCGGGTTAGGGTTGGTGGGCCGGGCTGGGCCAGCCATCTCCCCCAAATTGTCGGGCCTAACCCGACCCTCCTTTGTTGGCGGGCGGGTTAGGCCCGGCCCGCCAAAGAATGTAACCCGTCGCGGGCCAGGCCGGGCAGGTTACTTTTCCACCTTTAAGCAAATCCCTAACTAGGAGTGGTTAACGATTCGAGCCGCTCGTGAGCCAGCTCGGCTCAGCTCGAGTTTGGCTCGTTAACGACTCGGCTCATCTGATATCAAGCCAACTCGGTTCGGTTTGTGAGAGAGAACGAGCCGAGTTTGAGCTCAGCTCAGCTCGGCTCGGCTCGGCTCATCTTGTTAGGCTCATGAGTCAAGCCTAGCTAGAAAAAGTTGGGGGGTTTTTGGGGTTTTTTTGAAGTATAGCGGATTAAAGTAAAAAATTAGAACAAAAGTTTTTAAAAATGACAAAACTCCCCTTGATTTTAAATTCCTAAAATGTCAACAGTCAACATTTTGCCGTAAAACACTACCCAAACCCAAAAATCGACAGCATAGATTCCAGTCGCCGTCAACACCATCTTCTTCGCCGGATTTTCATTGCAGACTCGCCACTGTCAAACCCATTCAACTCTTGCCGACGCTTGGCCGCGATTGCTTTCCTTTTCTCTGTTCGCCGTGAAACCCATCTGCGGCGCCGTCAACCATCAATTTCTCGCTATATGGTTGTTTGTTTTGGATCTTCTTGAGTTGTTGTTGCTTGTGTCTTTGTGTGTGATTGATTTTTGTGAACTGTTTTTAATGGGGTTTTTTTCATGATTTTTGTGAACTATAAGTCTGTAACAGGGGATTTTTTCTAGTGAAACATTTCAAGGAATCCTATATTAGGGTCGTGTTGTCATCGTTGACTGTTGTGGTGTCGCCGTGAAACCCATACAAGAACCGTTGAGCACTTGAACTGGTTAACATATGTGTACTATACTTAAACCTGGCAAAACGGGTGGGTGGGCCGGGTACGGGCCGGGTCTTCACAAGTACGCGCCAAATGGGTATGTGTCCAATACGGGTCCAAAATATTGGACTCGTACCCTACCCTATGCGGATACGGGTGGACCCGCGGGTACCCGTTTGTTCTCTCTCCAGGTTTTAGTTTTTACCGTTTCACCCCTAATAATTTTTAATTACGACAGTTACACCCCCAAAATTCCTACAGTTTTAATTTTTTACATTTACACCCCCTAAATCAGCTACTCTAAATTCAATTCAATTTAGAATATAAACAAATAGGAACATTAAGTTCCCTTACCCTTTCTCAGCACTCTCTGAAATCAAAACAGCAAAACAATAAAAAAAAAAATACGCTAACATACACTAACAGGACACTCTCATTGCTTAGTATTTTAAAGTTCTAGTTACGGTTTCATTAGGAAAGAGCTGTACACCATGAAAACAACATTATATAAATGATAAATCCCATCACGTCAAAAGAAATTGCAAAATAATCTAGCATAATCCAAAACTAGCAAACCACAAATAGAATTCTCTTAATAATATATGAAAAAGAGCTGACTTCATATATAGGCATACATACAGGCTACAGCCTAGAATATGCCAAGTTTAATTTTATGAATATAAACCTTCTTCTCATACTTGTCTGTGTACTTCTCCTTCCATTGCTCCATGAAAACATTCACAAGGACATTGACATGACAAATCTAGGATGGTGGCCTGTGACACAACCCAAGTTAATAAGCTGGGCGGCCCTCAGCAAGAACAATGAGGCCAGTGTTTACTTCTGGGAACATCCATTTGTTCGCCCTGGGCTTAATATTGATCCTCTCAATGCCTGGGTACTTGTCAAGACCTTGTATGATAATTTCATTTTCAAAATGGCTAATGTTACTACCAATGGCATTGTTTTTCATCTTTTCCATGAGGAATCAATGGTTATGCCTGCTTTGGAGACAACATCATCAAATGTTAAGACAGGAATGCCCTACATATAAGGCCTGGAGAGCAAAAAGAGGATCAATCTCTGTAACCACAACTAAAGCACCTGCACAAAACGTTTGAGAGCTGTGGTACAGCCCTTGACCACATCTCCATAACCACAAACAACTGTCGTTTCCCTCATTATCCTATCAGGGAGGGAGCACCGTCGTCCATATGTAAGTTATCAAACTGCATTCAAATTAATTTAAATTACATCACCATTCAAGAATATTAACCACTCAGATTAAACCTCTAAAGAAAAGAAGAATATCACAAACTAGTACGTGTATTCTTTTATCAACATGCAAGTAATAAACCTTACTTACACTGGATGAAACTGCTTTGAAATTAAGGCACAAATGACCAAACAAATAGCAAAATATTTAAGGTAACATTAAGAAAAACAAATCAGGGGAACCCAACTCACCGATCTGCGACTGCAATGGTGGGGAGGAGAGCCGCGAGTCTTGCAACGGAGAGAGACAGGAGATGACAAGCCGACGCCCGACGATGACAAACAGAGGAGATAACGAGCCGACGAGGATGAGTGAGGGCGATCGGCGACAGTGGGTCTTGGAATGGGATCACGGTTCACGGATGAGAGATTGAGAGTTAAGAGAATGAATGAGTCAGGTGAGGTTAACACTTAACTGATGACTGATGAGTGAACAGAGTGATGAGAGATTGAGAGAATGAATGAGTCTACTGGTGAGAGATTCAGAGGCAAGAGAGAAGAGAATGTTATTTTGTTTTAGAGTTAGGGACTTAGGGTTACTGGGTTAGGGTTTAGATTTGCAAAAAATGGGTACCCGCAGATAGTAGCAGATCTAGAAAAATTTTGTAGGCTGGATCAAAATAAAAACTAATTATATATTAATATTTTTGTTAGGATGAGCCAAAATCCAAAAATTATATATATTAGTATTAAAAAAAAAAAAATTTGAGAGTGGGCACAAAAGTGGATTAGATTTGTCTCTGCTCGTGGGTTTACCCATATAACCCATTAATAATACGGGTCGGGCTAGGTACGGATTGAAAAAAATGGGTCTAACATATTAAACCCATACTCTATATTTTTTATTCGGGTACTGGTCAACCTGTGGGTCTAGACCTGTTTTGCTAGGTCTAACTATACTACTATGAAAAGTCTGCTGTAGGCCAGTTTGTTTCATTGTTTCTTTAAATTGTTTTGTAGAATTTGTTAACTTGTTTGTAGTTGTGGACTTGTGGGGTATTTGTTTACATACAATATGCTGAATGATAAATTATTAACAGTATTAGCATTTTATTTTATGTTTATTTTAAGAGGTTTAGGGTGCGTTTGGTTTAATATTTTGGAAGGATTTTGGGGATAGTATTGGGTTATTGGATAGAGGAGTATTACGAGGTAAATTTTAAAAATTTATAAAAAAGCCCTTAGGTTTACTAATTTAATTAAAGACCCTAACATATAAAATGACAAAAACACCCCCACCACCTGCAGTGCTAAATTCCGGCCACCACCGTCGGAATCTGACTGGAAAATTTCGTTACGGCACAGACCGGTCGGATCTGTGCCGTGACACGTCGTTATGGCCTTTTCCGGCCAGACCCATGGTGGATCTAGCCGGAAAAGGCCAGATCTATGGTCTGTTATGGCAGTCGACGGTCGGAAAAGGCGGAGGCCAAAGACGTGGCCGTCATTTTCGATCAACGACGGCCAGATCTGGCCGGAAAAGGCCACAGCGGTGAAATTCCGGCCATTTCTGGTCGAAAGTTAGGCCATTGTACAGATTTCAGCTATCACCGATGGTGGTTGTCAGAATCTGACAAGTTGGGTTAATGGGGGTGTTTTTGTTAATTTTTAAACTTTTTTTCAGGGGGTATTTAGTGAAATTAATAACCTTATTGGGTTTAAAAGTAATTAAAAAATAGGATAATATTTCTGAAATAATGTGCCAAACATTATTTAGAGAATAGGATCTAAAATATGGATAAAAATATTAAGCCAAACACAACCTTAGTTGTTAGGTAATATATCAGGACAAAAAAAAAAATTGCTTTTTTTCGAGCCGGCCCGAACTCGGCTCGTGAGCCAGCTCGAAAAATCCTTGTATCCCTCACAAGCAGAGTCATAAATATGCGGCTCGTATCGGCTCATTTTTTTCTCCCATTTCACGAGCCGAGCTCATTGAGCCGAAAACTCGGCTCGGCTCGTGAACAGCCCTAACCCTAACAAACTAACCTAACCTGCTCACTGCTAAGTCCTCATCAGCGAACGGCGTTAAGCAACTAGTCGACGAGTTCTTCTTCAGTCTTCACCGAATCAGGAAATAGTCGCCATTCATACTCCATCGCCGATTCAGCAACGTAAGACAAATCTTAATCTCTTATCTCTTTATTTTCTGTTCAAAATCTATTTGTGTAGATTAGAGTTGCTGTTTGTTAATCACGTGGTTAAAAGCATAGGATTAGCATTATAACATATTCAAAGTTTGTCTTTTTCTTATATTCATTACATGATTGATTCCAAAATCAGAAGAGTATTAGTTTAACGCAATCAATTAGTTTTTATTTTTCCCATTCAATCAATTGTTCTTAAAAAATACATTCAAATCATCGCATTCTCACCATATCACAAAGCAAGCTCAAACTGATAATCTTGAGACATGGAAGGTTAATTTTAAACAAACCAGCAAGCTACTCTATAAGCATAAATGGTAAAGATTAACAATAAATTTGTTTTTAGAATGTTTATATGACCTGAACTAATGTTTTACTCTCAAAGCAATGTTAAAATTACACGTTTATTTTGACTTGAGAGAGTAAAGCCAAATGATGGATCAGTAGTGTGTCTATTCTAATTTCATTTTGTATTTTGCTTTCACAAACTGAACTACGTATTTAGTGTAACCAAAGTATTCATTTTCATTCCTTTATAGTAAGTGTCATAATATGAACATTATAACCATCCATTATTAAATTGGCAAGTCTTTCTTTATATTTTAGATTGGTAAGTGAGGATTGCTTTCTTATGCATACTAAATTGACTACTAAACACATAAAACCTGTTCTGGTAGTAATTCATTCTTTGTCATAATCATTTCAATTTTTTTGTTTTTACTTTTTTCCAGTATAGTGTTGATAGAATTAAGTAAGTCTTGAGTTTTTGATTGAATAAAGAAAATAAATCCTACTGTAAAGGTTGGATATGTATATGAACACAAGTTTGTTATTGAATTCTTTTTTTGTAATGAAGAAATCCTTTCAACAGGTCATATAATGATTGGTGTGTGTTTGGTATGTTGGGTGATAAGAAAACTATCTTTGTTCTCAACGCTGTTGACACTTTTCAATCTTGCTGTTGCATTATCAAACTCAATTTTTTTTCTGCTATCTGTCTCCTTGTTTTCACTTTTCATCCCCATTTTTCTATTTAGGAACCTACACAAGTACATGTCTGCTTAGTAAAACCTTTTGTTCATGTGAACTCATTCATCCTTTTATAATAATGTATTCAATTTTCATACATCCATGATTAAGCATCTCACAACATTAAATTATATTCATTACATTTCTTCACTTTTTACTCGATATTGCAGATTATAATTCATATTCTTATCTGAATGATATTGTAGATGTCGTCGACCGGTGACAATGCTTGTGCTTGTGAGATTTCAAGTGACATTCATGCACCAATTCCGACACCTACCCTAACATTGTAATCAAAATTACCTCTTCATCCACCAAACCTCAAAACCCCCTCAACAAACCCAAAGCTAAAGCCTCCGTAAAATTATCAGCAGTGAGAACTCCTCGTCTCCAACTCAGAGCAATGTTGAGGATCATATGTCGAACTGCACTCTCTAAGCCCCAAAACTACGCCATTTCAACATCGTTTGTTAATCCCCATCACCATAAACATTTTTCATCAAAAGCAAATAAGAACACTAATGACAAGAAAAATCAGCCGGAAGACAGCAAGAAATCCAAGTCCAAACCCTCTGATGCCTCTGCTGCCATCCAATCGGAGTCTGCCACGTCAGTGGAAGAAATGGAGTTGTCTAGGGCTCGTGCTCGCCACTTAGCTGAAGACGATCAAGATCCCTCCCTAGATGTGGGCCCCAAGAACCGCCCTCTCTTTACTAAAACTCCCTCTCTTTCTTTGCTCAGTCGCAAAGACGTCTGCACTTACTTCAAATTCAGGTATCATATTAGCAGTTATGTTACAGGAAATTCATAGAAATTACTTCTGCCCCGTTTTACTCTTTTTTTTGGATAAAAAATGAACTCTTTGTTTTCTCAGTAACGTTACTGGGCCTGCATTATAGTAGAACCTTTAAAAGTAATAGAGTCGTCCTACAGTACACTGGGTAACTTTATCTCTTACACCTATACAGATTGTATTATAATATACATTTGTTTAGGCTATAGTAACAAATATTTATCACACAAATTATTGATATTGATGCTACCCAATGGATTTGAGAGAAGTTGGCATTTAGTGCCAAGTCATGAACTTCTACACCATTGGATTGCACTACATCAATGTTCTAAAATTTCTATTGCAAAGCAAGCCTTGGATTTTCGTCTGGGCTGTTTCTATAGAGTAACCTTAAATGCAATGAGATTCTACTAATATTGCTGCTCTTTTGCATCCTGGTATGTAGCATTTTAAACGCATAATACTATTTGATGATTGGATTGTTTATATGTAGTGCGGGAGAATTGAATGAGGTATTGCCAGAGGGATTGCCGATGGGGATGTTGATAGAATTTAAAGAATCGATGAGGCATGCATTGCTTGTGAGACAAAGTTTTTTGGATCTTCGCGATAATTTCAGGCGAATAGTTGATCCTCCAATGCTGTCTTCTAATGGTACCAAACTACCTGTGTTATTTAGTTGCTTTTGATGTTTCTATTTTATCGTGTTTTGATACTAGGTGATATCAAATTTGTCAGATGACACATGTAATGTAGCATGTCAGAATTATATTGTGTGGAAACATGAGAGCCGCCTGGTTGGCAACAATAGTAACTTTATGGCAATATGTCCTTTTGATTATCGTTGTTAAGTTTTAGTGACGTAAAAGTTATATCATAAAGATGTGCAATTAATTCTTGAGTTTAAAATATCATTTTGCTAGTAGCTCATTGTATTATCGAGAACTTTCATTGTTCCTGGTGGTCAGTAATGTTTTCTAATGATATTGATCAGATTAATTGATGTCCTTTATGATTTTGTTGTTACAAATAGTTTAATAATAATGGACATATACACATAAAAGCTCATAGGTGCGACAATTATTTGATGGAGAGTTGAGTGTGAGACTGTGGTGGGTAATATTGAACAAGATACAGTTAATTTATTACTTAATGCTTTCAGGTCCTAAAGTTAGAAAGCAAGTTGTCTTGGATGGTCCTCGTAGTTGTGGGAAGAGCATTATGCTTGCAATGCTTGTTCACTGGGCTCGTGATGAAGGTTGGCTAGTATTATATGTTCCTAGAGGTTGGGAGTGGACTCATGGCGGATACTTTTATAAAAACCCACAAACTGGTCTTTGGGACACTCCTCTTCAGGCTGAAAATGTTCTCAAGGCAAGAAGTCTTTTTGATATGGTTTGATGAATTATTATTGTCATTATGATGAGCAGTTGTATGTCGTTTCATATAGATAAACCTAATATTGATGATAGAAGGTGGTTACAAAATATTCATTCATTTTATATTGAACATCAGAAATTCCATGTGAAAGTTGCTAGACAATGTCATACTAGATGCATAAGACCAGAAAATTTGGTTTGAAGGAGGCATTTAGTATAAGAAGCTCTGTCCATAATCATGCATTATTATTATTTATTTATTGTATTTATGGCTAAAATGTTTGTTTGATTTTTGGATTGTAAGTTATGCTGATACATGTCACTGCTTCTTTTTATGGAACCAAATATGCAGGGGTTTCTCTGTTTTTCAGGCATGTAAGTGGTTCATTGTGTTTTTGTAATTTCCTAACTGGTCAAATTTTCTACAGGATTTTTTGAAATACAATGAATCCCGCTTAAGAGAATTGCCATGCCAAATACTTGATCCTATTCCACTGGGGGAGGGTGCTGGCATTGGATATATGAAAGGGGTTGACTCGAAGGAAATCCCCGAAGGTTCAACTCTATATGATCTGGTTCAAATGGGAATTCAGCAAACACATGCGGCTGTTAGTGCGGTTGTTCGTTTAAGGAAAGAGTTATCACTTGTGAAAGATATCCCTGTTCTTATTGCAATTGATCAAGTGAGCACTGGCTCCATATTTCTCAGCCTAAATTTTAGTCAATTTTCTTTTTCCACTATGATATCTCTATCAGTTGGTTATGGCTTTCTGTATCTATTGAATGAATTTGTTGCTGTTACCTATATGCAGTATAACAACTGGTTTACATTCAGTGAATATGAAGAGCCAGTCACTATTCGTTCTTGTCGACCAGTGCATTCTAGAGAATTGACAATGGTTAGTACCAACTTTTCTTTTTCTTAAATTTTTATGTTTAGGTTCATAATATTTTTTTGTATATGGTAAACTGTATTAAATTTAATTATTATTTTTTTCAATTTTATGAGCTTATGGTTATTCAAAACATCTTTAGATGAGATGGTTGCCTTTGTTTCTTGTTTTGCTGTCCTAGATGCATTTTTGTCCAATCAATGACATTTAACTTGTCATCTCTGTTCTTGACAGGTGAATGCGTTTAGGTCTATGATGCATGATGAAATGATGGTAGGTGCTTTCTCTCACTCAACTGCTGTGGGAAAGCTTCGCAAAGACTTACCAGATGTTCCAGTGGATGCCCGTTTTAATTTGCCTCGCTACAACGTTGATGAAGCAGCAACTGTTTGCCATTACTACCTTAGGTATGTTTAAGGGACTTTCTAGATTTCAGATTTACATAAAAGGGTTATTATCATCTCTCTTTGTTTAGGTTCGTTTTAGACATTCAATTTTCCACTGTAGATGTATAATTGGGAAATATTCAGCTTTGTGCATCTTTTTTTGTTTTCTTTCTCTGGCAGACAAAGACTCGTAAGCAGGGAGGTATTCACAGAGGAAAATTGGAAGAAAGTGTACTATTTATCCAATGGGAATGGAGTAGAGATGAGATCTTTGGTTCCGTTGATGCGGTGAGGTCACGTGTAAGATGAACCTGAAAACTTGAAGCAGCTACGAAGGGTGAGCAGAGTGGGGCTTTTGAGAGATATCTGCGGTGGATCCAAAAGAATGAAAGGAAGCGTTAGTGACATCTTCATTTCCTTTTCTCGACGTGTCTTAAATCACATCAACAAAAATGCATTCTTGCATATGATATCTTTTGACGGTTTTTTCTGGTTTTTAACTGAGCAGGGAATAAAATAAATAAACTTTAAAATAATTCCTAATTGTAGATTAATGTCTCATAAGATAATTATATAAAAAGATAAATCAAGTTAAAAATTATTGAGAAAAAAATTTGTTATTTTAATGAAACCTCAGCAGGAGAAATTGTATTTTAAAACATTCCACATTAAGCACACCAATTTAGCATTAAGAATTGGATAGTTGTCAAATCGTAAATCGTGTATTGAGAACTTAATCTTTTGAATCATGTATTGTAGGATACATTTTTTTCAAAAAATTAATAAAATAATAAATTAATTAATAATCAAAATTTTTTAAAAATTAATATCACTCTCAAAATTAATTAAAGAATTTTGTAGTATTATTGGTTTTAAATTATAGTATTACATAATTAAAATTAATCACAAAATTAAGAATCTATATTATTTTTTCTCAACCATTCGTATCATTTTCAAGATCAATGTTAATATCTATATCTTTATTTGTATAATTATTATCATGCAAAATGGGCAACACATGTTTCTCTTCACTTTCTCCATGCAAAATAGGTAAATTTGGATGGTTTTAGTGAACTTGGTGGGGTGACTTGGTTCTGACCCGAATTTTTTTGGGTTTTTGATTCAAATTAATAAAGTTGTATCGATTTGTATCGATATTTTTAAGGATACGAACGGATACGTATTATATCGTAGGATACATATCAACGTATCGAAAGGTTTATGATACACTCTCTGATATGTATCGTTGGCGACCTATATCGAATCGTATCGTATGATACATATCGAATATCGTAGGATAATAATACTATCATTTTTTTTATTTATGTTTATACATATAAAACAAAATTGAAAAATAGAGTATTATTAAAATAACAAAAATACTATATGCCAAAAGATAGTTTTTCATAAAAATAAAAAAAAATAAAAAAAAATTTAAAACATATAAAAATGTATATTTGAAATGCATAATTTAAAAGAAAATATTAAACTTTGAGACAACTAAAACATATTTTGATATATAAATATAAAATTTAGACAAAAAAAAGTATTTTAAAATTTCATGCACACAATTAATTAAAAAAAATACTAAATTAATTTAAGAGGTTTCTCCATTATGTACCCCTTTTTTTTTTTTTTTTTTTCTGTAAAGCTAAATGAGGTTGAGAACTTGAGATAATATTGCCCGCCACAGATAACAATGAAGAGAGCAACAAACCTCTCTTAAAACTTTCTAAACTTCTTCAACTTCTTGCATCAAAGACGAGCAATTGATGCCTACTTCACTTTCACTTCATCTCTTTCTTATCACATGGCTTTAGTACCCAGTCGCCAGTTCTACCCGACACCCACCATTTTCGATTCCTTTCAAAACTCCTTCTCAAGATTCCACGGCACCCACCTCAACTTCTTCAGGTACGCTCACTCTATTCCTATCAAAAATCACTCCTTTTATCATAATTTATCTTCAGATGCTGCCCCTCAACGGAACCCACCAAGGAAATTTTGTTCTTTCTCCAATACCAATCATAATGATGTAAGTTTATGTTCTAGTGGGGAATCTGGCGATTGGTTAGATAAGTGGAAGAAATCCAATAAAGATAATCGCCCAAAACCGCCTCGGGCTGCGTTGAATTATAGAAAGAATAATGTAAGTTTGCCAAGTTTAGGCTATTCGAGAAGTAGAAGGGATGGTAATAGCAGTGTTGTTGAGGATGGTGGTGGTAGTACAATGGGTAAGATTGTAGAGAAATTGAAAAAATTTGGGTACATAGATGATTGTGATGACAATGAGAAGGGAGTGAAAGAACAAGAGAGAGTGATTGAAAAAGGATCTATAGAGGACATATTTTATGTGGAAGAAGGAATGTTGCCGAATACACGAGGANTTTTTAACTGAGCAGGGAATAAAATAAATAAACTTTAAAATAATTCCTAATTGTAGATTAATGTCTCATGTCTGTCAAATCATATATCGTATTGTATATCAAAAACCTAATTTTTTAAATCGTATATCGCGTATTATATCATGATACGTCTTTTTTTTTAAAATTAATAAAATAATATAATTTTTTTAAAAATTAATATCATTCTTATGATTAATTAATAAATTTTGTGGTATTATTGGCTTTAAATGATGGTATTATACAATTAAAATTAATCACAAAATTAAGAATTTATATCGTTTCTTCTACTATTCGTATTATTTTCAAGATTAATGTCAATATTTATAACTTCACTTGTGTTATTATTATCATGAAAAATGGGTAACACATCTTCATTTTCACTTTCTCTATGCAAAATAAGTAAATTTAGGTAAGTTTTAGTGAACCGGGTTGGGTGACCCGAATTCGACTTGAAATTTTTTTTTGACCTTTGGCTCAAATTAATAAAGTCGTATTGATTTATATCGATATTTTTAAGGATACAAACGGATACGTATCGTATTGTAAGATACATATCAACGTATCAAAGGTTTACAATACACTCTCTGATATGTATCATTGGTGACCCGTATCGAATCATATCATAGGATACGTATCTCGTATTGTAGGATACTAATAACCACGGTCTCATAAGATAATTATATAAAAAGATAAATCAAGTTAAAAATTATTGAGAAAAAAAATTTGTTATTTTAATAAAACCTCAGCAGGAGAAATTGTATTTTAAAACATTCCACATTAACCACACCAATTTAGCATTAAGAACTGGATAGTTGTACTTTTTGAATCATGTATGGCGTACGGTGGATACATTTTTATCAAAAAATTAATAAAATAATAAATAAATCAATAATCAAAATTTTCTAAAAATTAATATCACCCTCAAAATTAATTAAAGAATTTTACGATATTATTAGTTTTAAATTATGGTATTACATAATTAAAATTAATCACAAAATTAAGAATCTATATTATTTTCTCTCAACCATTCATATCATTTCTAAGATCAATGTCAATATCTATGTCTCCACTTGTATTATTATTATCATGCAAAATGGGCAACACATGTTCCTCTTCACTTTTTCCATGCAAAATGGGTAAATTTGAGCGGGTTTAGTGAACCGAGTTGGGTGACCTGGTTTTGATCCGAATTTTTTTAGGCTTTTGGCCCAAATTAATAAAGTCATATCGATTTGTATCGATATTTTTAAGGATACGAACGGATACGTATCATATCATAGGATACATATCAATGTATCGAAAGGTTTAAAATACACTCTCTAATATGTATCGTTGGCGATCTGTATTGAATCGTATCGTATGATATATATCAGAAATCGTATGATACTAATACTATCATTTTTTATTTATGTTCATACATATAAAACAAAATTGAAAAATAGAGTATTATTAAAATAACAAAAATACTACAAAAGATAGTTTTTCATTAAAAAAAAAATTAAAAACATATAAAAATTTATATTTGAAATGCATAATTTAAAAGAAAATATTAAACTTAGAGAAAACTAAAACATATTTTGATATATAAATATAAAATTTAGACAAAAAAGAGTATTTTAAAATTTCACACACACAATTAATTAAAAAATTACTAAATTAATTTAAGAGGTTTCTCCATTATGTACCCCTTTTTTTTTTTTTTTTTTTCTGTAAAGCTAAATGAGGTTGAGAACTTGAGATAATATTGCCCGCCACAGATAACAATGAAGAGAGCAACAAACCTCTCTTAAAACTTTCTAAACTTCTTCAACTTCTTGCATCAAAGACGAGCAATTGATGCCTACTTCACTTTCACTTCATCTCTTTCTTATCACATGGCTTTAGTACCCAGTCGCCAGTTCTACCCGACACCCACCATTTTCGATTCCTTTCAAAACTCCTTCTCAAGATTCCACGGCACCCACCTCAACTTCTTCAGGTACGCTCACTCTATTCCTATCAAAAATCACTCCTTTTATCATAATTTATCTTCAGATGCTGCCCCTCAACGGAACCCACCAAGGAAATTTTGTTCTTTCTCCAATACCAATCATAATGATGTAAGTTTATGTTCTAGTGGGGAATCTGGCGATTGGTTAGATAAGTGGAAGAAATCCAATAAAGATAATCGCCCAAAACCGCCTCGGGCTGCGTTGAATTATAGAAAGAATAATGTAAGTTTGCCAAGTTTAGGCTATTCGAGAAGTAGAAGGGATGGTAATAGCAGTGTTGTTGAGGATGGTGGTGGTAGTACAATGGGTAAGATTGTAGAGAAATTGAAAAAATTTGGGTACATAGATGATTGTGATGACAATGAGAAGGGAGTGAAAGAACAAGAGAGAGTGATTGAAAAAGGATCTATAGAGGACATATTTTATGTGGAAGAAGGAATGTTGCCGAATACACGAGGAGGGTTTTCGAAAGAATCACCATTGGGGTTAGGAGAGGTGGTGGATAGTGATGGAAAGGTGAGGTTTCCATGGGAGAAGCCAAAGGAGAAGGTAGAGGATGAGAAATTGTCAGTAAGGAGGAAAAGTAGGACTTCACTGGCAGAGTTGACTATCCCGGAGTCTGAGTTGAGGAGGTTGAGGAATTTGACATTTCAGACAAAGAGCAAGACAATGATTGGGGGTGCTGGTGTTACTCAGGCTATAGTTGATGTAGTTCACGAGAAGTGGAAGACAGCAGAGATTGTGAGGTTGAAAATAGAAGGGGCCCCTGCACTTAATATGAAGAGGATGCATGAGATATTGGAGGTTTGTTCTTTTGGACTTTGTTATCTAAATTATGTTTATTTGATTTTGTGATTTCTTTTTTTTTATTTTTCTAGATATTCATAATTTGTTTGTTTATGTTTGGTGATGAGATTTCTGTATATTTAAAGAAGGTAAAAGAAACAAAATAGAGCAGATTAGTTTGTACATGGAAACTTTGAACTGAAACATATGTTCTGAATCTCAAAGGATAAATCAAAGAGTTTAAGTTGTCATGAGGGTTCAATAAAGGAGCCTCATTGTATTCGGCAAATGTAGAGAACCTGGTAGCCATAAAAGAACAAGTGTCTCTCTGCCTATACATGAAGAGGCAGCCTTGTCCTTCAAAATGCTTTGACTCCTATTGTACAGACCTCAATATAACTTCAAAGCACAACCTTCTTTGATATGTCGAATTTTTCATTCTTCAGTGTACTTTCCCGAATTAAGTTGAGGCATCTTGAATATCAAAAAGAATGGAGCTAATATAGAGCATACTGACAAACAATACTTTGGAAAGATTATACAGTAGTTTCCGTCACCTGAGGCAAGCTGCTAACTTGTCCATCTGTCATTTATACCAAAATGGAGAAGAAAACATAAGTTCTTCAAATTGATTGATTGCTAGAATTTTAATCTGCATTAACCAATTATTTGGTTCTACTGATGCTTGTGTTTTTCCTATTGTCTTTATTCCTTAGAGAAAAACTGGTGGGTTGGTGATATGGAGATCTGGCACTGCTGTTTCTTTGTACAGAGGTGTGAGTTATGAGGTTCCTTCTGTGCAACTGAACAAACGGATGTATAGGAGAAATGAACTACCTGCAAGCTCCTTAGCAAGAGCTCCTGATAAACAGATATATAAGAGAAATGATAGATCTAGTTATTCCTTATCAAAAGCTACTGATGTTCCTGCTCAAGATCCTTCCACATTTGGCTCTTATAATATTGTGCATTCACCTGAAACAAACCTGGAAATGACTACTGAGGAGCAAGATAGGGAATCAGTGCCAGAAGTAAAGTATGAAGATGAAGTAGACAAGCTATTAGAGGGTCTGGGTCCCAGGTATACAGATTGGCAGGGATGTGAACCATATCCTGTGGATGCAGATATGCTTCCTGGTATAGTTACTGATTACCAACCTCCATTCAGAGTGCTTCCTTATGGGGTGAGATCTACTGTTGGACGAAAAGAGGCAACAAATTTGCAAAGGCTTGCCCGTGTTCTTCCTCCACACTTTGCCTTAGGTATGCCACATATCTTGGATAAGCTCATATGCTTCTGAAGATGGTCTTTCAATTACATTTAAATTTTCCTATCTTCAGGTCGAAGCAGGCAGCTCCAAGGTTTGGCTGTGGCCGTGATTAAATTATGGGAAAAAAGTTCAATTGCCAAGATTGCTCTTAAACGTGGTGTACAGCTCACTACGAGTGAGAGAATGGCTGAAGATATCAAGGTAATATTTTTAGAGAGAATTAAATGTTGTTGACTTCATCTGTATACAGTAACTGGAATTTATCTGTTTATATTTGATCAATGCAATAAGCCATCTTTATCAACTCTAAGATGCTGTATAAAAACATTGGGTATTGGCTGCAGAAATTGACGGGTGGCAAATTGCTCTCAAGAAACAAGGATTTTCTGGTTTTCTATCGGGGAAAAGATTTTTTATCACCAGATGTCACTGAAGCATTATTGGAAAGGGAGAGGCTGGCTAAGTCTCTGCAAGATGAAGAAGAGCAAGCTCGGTTAAGAGCATCAGCCTTTGTCTTGCCAAGTGCTGAAGTAAGTGAGCAATCAGGTACTGCAGGCACCCTTGGGGAAACTTTGGATGCAAATGCTAGATGGGGAAGGATGCTGGATGACAATCATAAGGAAAATGTGATGAGAGAAGCTGAAATAATGAGACATGCCAGCCTCGTCAGAAAACTGGAAAGAAAGCTTGCTATTGTGAGTTCCTGAAAATTGGGAATTCCTGCTATGATCTGATGCAGTATTGTTCAGTTTCTATGTTATTGGGAAAACTTTTTTATTCTACAACACTCATATGGTTTCTAATCAACGTTACTGTTTTGCATTGCTTTGCAGATTCTTCGAATCTAACTTTTGTAATGTAATGTGATAAAATAAGATATTATACATTTATTGATAGCATAGCACATCACACAATCATGTGTATCCTTTAGCGTAATCTCCATAATTTGGCCTTCGGGTTTTGGTTGCTGTGAAAAGGTGGACGAATTTTGGGGAAGTAACCTGGATTTTTTTTCTTTTTTCAGGCTGAACGAAAGCTAATGAAAGCTGAACGAGCCTTATCGAAAGTGGAGGAGTTTTTAAAACCAACAGAAAGACAAGCAGATCCTGAGAGCATAACTGATGAGGAGAGATTTATGTTTCGCAAGCTTGGTTTGAGGATGAAGGCTTTCTTACTTTTGGGTAAACAATCTCTTCAACTGCCATATTTTACATGTTTATTTCAAATATGAGATTTTATGGGATTTTGATTTCTTGTTCAGGTAGGCGTGGAGTTTTTGATGGTACAGTGGAGAATATGCACTTGCACTGGAAATATCGAGAATTGGTTAAAATTATTGTGAAGGTGAAAACTTTTGATCAGGTTAAAAAAGTTGCATTAGCACTTGAAGCTGAAAGTGGGGGTGTCTTGGTTTCAGTGGACAAAATCTCCAAAGGTTATGCTATAATTGTATTCAGGGGAAAGGACTATAAGCGGCCTTCCAAATTGAGGCCAAGAAATCTTTTGACAAAGAGGAAAGCTTTGGCACGTTCAATTGAACTCCAAAGACATGAGGTATCTTACAAAAATTATATAGCACTAATCTAAAATTACCGCATTTGTACATACATAACTGGATAGAATGTTCCATGTGCATCTGAGAAAATACACTAGGTAGTCCCAAATGTTCACTAGTGAGGACAATTTTCTTGTTGCTGATCAGGAAACTCCCAGGTAAGGGCCTGATCTGGGCCATAAAAGGGGGTTTCCACTGCCCCTTTCTGTAGTGAGCACCCTCAGGCTGAACTTGGGTGTGTGTGCTGGAATGAGCCTGCCAACGCCAACCAATGTTGTGCGGTGATGGTGGTGTATAAACGTTTATGTTGGCCCAATTAAACATGGATCTTGCTTTAATCACTTCCAATATTTTCAGATACCTCTAACCTTGTCTGATTTTTCTCATGTATTTTTTGAACAGGCTCTTCTAAAGCATCTTTCCCTTCTGGAGACGAATGTAGGGAAACTAAGATTCGAAATTGTAAGGCTTACACATTTTAGCTTTTGCTATATATAACCTAGTTGTTGTAAATATGAAGGTATGATAGTGCCTTCTTTTAAACTAAATTTTTTCGTCTCTTGCTTGGCATTGATAGGAACAAATGAACACCGTGAAAGACCGGGGAGATGTGGAGTTGTATGACAGATTAGATTCTGCTTATGCCACTGACGATGATGACATTGAGGTCTGCTTTCAGTTTACCTTCTAGATCATTCGCTACTGCTTATTTATTTAATCATCTGGTCTCACATCTTATTTCATCCTTGTGTGCCATTACAGCAAGAAGGAGATGATGCATATTTAGAGACATATGACAGTGGAAATGATGGTGAATATGAAAGTGATAACTCAATTCACAATCTCCACACAGAAACAAACTTCCCTTATCATGAACAAGATCAGGAATCAGAAACTGAACCTGTAGATTCTGAAGATGAAGAAGCATATGCTCTAACCAATGAGTCTGAATCAAAACCAACAACTTAGGGAAAGAAGTCAACAACTTTTAGTAGACAATGGAAAGGAACCGATCATCAAACATACTGTATTAAATCAGTAGATCTCAATGTATAACCTGATTTTGGCTGGCCCTTCGTTATTGTATAGATAAATTATGTAACTCTTGTCATTGTTTAGGAAAAACTGCTACCGTTTTTTATGTTAGCAGATGAAAATCATCTTAATTTAAAAATAACTCTGCCCAAACACAAATACTAATTTAAAGAGGTACTTTCTAGATCAAATGGGCAGACGTCAACTTTAATTAACAGCAAACAATCACAGTTTTCTAGCACCCTATTGGTATCATGAACCGTAGAATTTAAATCACACGGACATAATTAGGGGCCCACTTGCAAGACCTATTTCCAATTCACCATTGGATCAATCTTGTCGCGTGACTTACGAGCAAAACCATTGGCAGTATTTGTTTACTCTTCTCTGACTAAGGAGAAATCACCGAGACCGTGTGAGAAACCTGAAACATTTGACCACGTGTTAAATATGTCTTAAAAAAAGACTGCTCTATTATATAATATATATAGCCGCTGGAACCCAGAAAAATTCGAAATTCCCAGAGTAAACAGAGACAACTAAATGGAAAATTTCTTTCAAGAACAATTCTATGGCGACGGCGATATATTCTGGTTTAACTCTGAGTCTCTTCCTGTGCATCGAAGCGCTTTTATGCCGTATGCTAACGGACCCAGAATTGAAGTTGGGTCAGCGAGTATTGGTAACGGGTCTAAATCTTGGAGTGCCAACAAGAGAATGATAGAATTCTTGAGGAGAATTAATCAGTCTGCAAAAAAGGAACCACTTAAACCAGACAGAGAACGGGGTCACCTGCATATGATTAACGAGAGGATGAGGAGAGAAAGGGAGAAGCAGAATTACTTAGCCTTGCGTTCCATGTTGTCAACTGGCACCAGGGTTAGTGAATATTTAAGGCTGCTCTTAAACGTGACACATCAATACACATGATTAAAAAAAAACTGTATATTCATTGAAATGAGTAAAGTTGTGTTATTTAACATTTTCTTTGTTTTAACTATCTCTGAAACTTATGTAATACGCTAATGGGCATGTTTTGTTAATATCAGATTGACAAGAACTCGACTGTTCAAATGGCGGCGATGAGAATCCGGGAGCTGGAATGTTATAAGGTGGAACTTGAGAGGAGAAACAATGAGCTAGAAGCGAAGCTGGGAAAGGATACTAATGAGGGAACAAAGATTGGAATAAGAGTAACTAATCCAATATCTGGGATTGATTATATGGTCGAGGCTCTTAAATCCTTGAAAAAGACGGGTTCAAGAATCAGAAATATTCAATCAGAATTTTCTGATCAGAAACTGACAGCGGTAATACATGCTGAATCTCAGGTACGGGATTAAAACTGTAGATGGTACCTCTTTTACTAGAGATCAAGTAGTTGTTATATATTTAGATTTAATTAATTTATAAGAATGAAAATTGCAGATGGGAGATGAAGAGTTGAAGAAGGCTGTTCAGAGAGCACTAATAGAAGTAGAGCAGGAACTTCTTATTCCATTGCCAGGAAGTTTCGAAAGCCAAACAAGAAGAGAAAGAGGCTAGAAAAAGAAATAAGCCAATTACTTTAAGTTTTAGTGAACTTTGCGTAGGAATTAAGTTTGGATTAAAACATATACAGATGTTGACAAATTCTTGGATATTTATATTCATATGGCTAATTTGACTAACCTCTGACTTGAGGACGAACAAAGCTCCAGCATCAAGCTTTTTGGAGAATCAATGATGCCTATTTCATTATCAGTTTTTGATATATCAGGGAGCTTAGACTATAGTTCCATCTTTCTCTCGTGCTTGACTAAGAGTTGTTCCACCTACAACAACAACCTATACACCACTATTGAGCAACCGGAAGTGGTCATTCCAAGTGTAGCTAGCCATTGCCCCACTCACAGGTGCTTACTTAAACTTGTTTGTTTATGAAATTTCATTTTATTACTGATTTATTCTGAAAGTAAATTTTCAGTTTTGATTTTTTATTATGCAGCCAACTTTGGCAGTGATGTCACAGTGAGCATTGATGGGGGTGATATTCGGAATAATTAATGAATACTTCTTTTTTGGCGTAGACACAGTATGAACCATTTTAAAAAAAAAAATGTTGTCCATTTATTTTGTTTTCCTATGTCTTATAAACAATGTTATATTGTAAAGTGTTTATCAATGAAACATATTATTATCAAAAAGTTGCCAACTCACATTCTTAGATAGGTTATACATGTTTTAGTTGTGGACTTTGTGCAGTAAAGTTTGTGTTTCGTGGCAAATAGAGTTGTGTTGGATGATGAAGGATGATAAGTTTTATTTTTTATTTTGCTCATTTCATGATGCTGGGCAGCCTTTAAAATGGTGAAAGATTAACTGTTGGACCTCAAACAATGGTTATATTCCATGCAGGAACTATTAATTTTAAGAAGGGTAAAATTGTCATTTCAATTATATTATTATGTACCAAATTGTTATAAGAAAAGTGTTGCAACTCTTCTTTTGCTTTGAAAAGGGAATTATTCCATCCCTAAAATGTTCAGTATTATTTCGTTCTTAATTAATTAATTATTGTGTCAAAACCTCTTTCATAAGTTGCGGGACTTAACTTCTATGTATTGAATTCAATTTCAATTCTGCGCTGAATTACAAATTGACAATTTCAATCTTCTCATCACTTGCATTTTATCAAATTAAAATTGATGCATGTGAATCATCCTTATTTTATCAACACCAGTAAGCAACAAATACGGGAATCAATTAATGACCTCTAATGTCAATCATATAACGATTCTAAGCAACTTTAAACAAAAAACCCGATTAAAAAAAAAACAATAATAAATAGTCTATTATATTAATTTTGACATATTTTTTTTTTTTTTGTATAACAATAGTCTTTTACAATTTCTAAAATATAAAAAATTTAATATAATAAATAAAAAATATAAATAAACCTGCGCGTTCGGCTTGCTAAATATAATTATATAAAAAGATAAATCAAGTTAAAATTAGGCCAACGACTTACGCATACCCAAGGTTGCCAAAATGACAAGTTAGTACCCAAAAGGTTTTGAAACGACAAATAGGTATCTTCCGTCATGTGCTGTTAGTAATTTATGTTTGTTCATAATGAAAAGACTAAAATGCCCTTAAAACATTTGATATTTTAGTTCTGTAAATTTAAAAATTTCTAAAAACCCCCTCAGTTTGCTAATTTAACTAATACCCTATATATAAAAAGTTGTTAAATGACAAAAAACCCCCACACCTGTAATGCCAGATTCGGACCCACTGTCAGAATTTGGCCGAAAAATTGCGTTACAACACAGACCCGTCGGATCTGTGTCGTAACGTGTCGATCTAGCCTTTCCGGCCAAATCAGTCAGGATCTGATCGAAAAGGCCAGATCGACGCGTTACGACACAGATCCAATGGGGTCTGTGTTGTAACGCAATTTTCGGTCAGATTCTGACGTTGGTGGCCGGAATCTGGCAATGTGGATGTGAGGGTTTTTTTACATTTAACAAACTTTTTATATATAGGGGTTTTAGTTAAATTAGCAAACTGGAGGTGTTTTAGAAATTTATAAAAACTTAAAAATTTCAAACTTTAAGGGCATTTTAGTCTTTTCACTATGAACAAACAGAAATCACTAACTACACATGACGGAAGCTACATGTTTGTCGTTTCAAAAAATTTTGGGTATCAACTTGTCGTTTTGGCAAACCATGGGTATGCGGAAGTCGTTTGGCCTAAAATTTATTGAGAAAACATCAATAACAATATAACGCCACAAAAGCAAATCCCTAACAAGACTAACCTAGCCTGCTCACTGCGAAGTCCTCATCGGCGAACGGCGTTAAGCAACTAGTCGCCGTCTTCACTCTCGACACACAACAGAAGCTAGAACGTTCTTCGAGTCGACGAGTTCTTCAGTCTTCACCGAATCACGAAATAGTCGCCATTTATAGTCCATCGCCGATTCAGAACGTAAGACAAATCTTAATCTCTTATCTCTTTATTTATTTATTTTCTGTTCAAAATCTATTTGTGAGATTAGAGTTGCTGTTGTTAATTTGTGGGGCGTTAATCACGTGGTTAAAAGCGTAGGATAGCGTTTAACATATTCAAAGTTTGTCTTTTTCTTCTATTCAACATATTGATTCCAAAATCTGAAGAGTATTAGTTTAACGCAATCAATTAGTTTTATTTTTCCCATTCAATCAATTGTTCTTAAAAATACATTCAAATCCTCGCATTCTCACCATGTCACAAAGCAGCTCAAACTGATAATCTTGAGACATGGAAGGTTATTTTAAACAAACAGCAAGCTACTCTATAAGCATAAATGGTAAAGATTAACAATAAATTTGTTTTTAGAATGTTATATGAACTGAACTAATGTTTTACTCTCAAAGAATGGAAAATTAACACGTTTATTTTGACTTGAGAGAGTAAAGCCAAATGGGATCAGTAGTGTGTCTATTCTAATTTCATTTTGTATTTTGCTTTCACAACTGAACTACGTATTTAGTCTAACCAAAGTATTCATTTTCATTCCTTTATAGTAAGTGTCATAATATGAACACTGTAACCATCCATTATTAAATGGCAAGTCTTTCTTTATATTTAGATTGGTAAGTGAGGATTGCTTTCTTATGCATACTAAATTGACTACTAAAAACATAAACCTGTTCTGGTAGTAATTCATTCTTTGTCACAATATTTCAATTTTTTTTTTTACTTTTTTCCAGTATAGTGTTGATAGAATTAAGTAAGTCTTGAGTTTTTGATTGAAAAAGAAAAATAAATCCTACTGTAAAGGTTGGTATGTATATGAACACAAGTTTGTTATGAATCTTTTTTGTAATGAAGAAATCTTAACAGGTCATATAATGATTGGTGGTGTTTGGTATGTTGGGTGATAAGAAAACTATCTTTGTTTCAACGCTGTTGACACTTTTCAATCTTGCTGTTGCATTATCAAACTCAATTTTTTTCTGCTATCTGTCTCCTTGTTTTCATTTCATCCCCATTTTCTATTTAGGAACCTCAACAAGTACATGTCTGCTTAGTAAAACCTTTTTGTCATGTGAACTCATTCATCCTTTTATAATAATGTATTCAATTTATACATCCATGATTAAGCATCTCACAACATTAAATTATATTCATTAATTTCTTCACTTTTTA